GTTCTTCTTCTTCTTGAACTCTAGACGAGGATAAACCATCATCATGTTCTCTAGGTTCGTCATTAACCTCAGATACATCATCATGTAATCTCTTTTTCAATAAATTAGACTTGCCTATTTTGTATGAAATATATCCTCAAAAAATATTGCATTTATAGATTCTATAATAGTATTGACATGTATATCACTGACTTTAGAATGAAAAACTAAGAATCTATAAGCTGAACTATTAGATGCAAAACCAATAAAAACACAATCTATAGTTTTAGGCCCTAATTTTGTTCTCTTTGGCAATGAGACTTGTACTTTTGCTAGGCAACCCCACACTTTAAGCAATTTAAACGTTGGGGTTCTTCCTTTCCATAATTCATATGGTGATTCCTTTCTCGTTTTAGGTGGAATTCGATTCAAAATTTTATTTGCAGTAAGTAAAGCTTCACCCCACAAATTGTGTGGAAGCTCAGAGCTATTCAACATAGAATTGATCATGTCTTTAAAAGTCCTATTTTTCCGTTCAGCAACACCGTTTTGTTGCGGTGTATAGGGGCTGTTGTTTGATGAATTATGCCATGTGTGGCACAAAATTCAACAAAGGCATGAGACTGATATTCTCCTCCCCTATCGGATCTTAAGACTTTAATCTTCTTGTTAAGTTGATTCTCAACTTCTGCCTTATATGTCTTAAACATATCCAATGTCTCATCTTTACTATGAAGTGAATAAACATAACAATACTTACTGAAATCATTTATGTTAAATGTTACATAATAGGTTCTTTCCACCACGAGTTGGATATGATCTAAAATCACACAAGTCACTATGAATTAAATCTAATAAACCATTGGACTTTTCATGCACTGATTTAAAGCTTTGACTCGCAAATTTCGATTTTGTACAAGTCTCACATTTAACATTATCTAGATAATCAATTTTGGGCAACAAACCTAATCCAACCGACCAACCATCAATTTTGGCCCTTGTCTTGATTAATTAATATTAATATTATAGTATAATCATCAAGCCTAATCCAACCAACCATAAGGCCCAAGCCTTCAATCCATTTCCAAATGGTCCAAGTTCTAATTACTAAGAAAAATGAATAAGCCTATATAAAGGCTAGTGAAAAAATACTGTTGACCAATGTGAGACAAAAGGGTCTCAAACTCCTATCCATACATAATTTTGGTGAATTTTTGAATGGGGAAACAAAAACAATGAGAGAAATCTACGGCTGCTGACCTATATACTTAAGATTAATGGCAAGCTTCTGTTGTCTTCCGAAATGACTCTGAAACATAAGCCAACAACCGTTAATCAAACAAAGGAAATTTAAACATATTCTTTAGTAATATATTTGCACCAGCTATCAACTCCTCAGTTGCCAGTCGCAGATGAGATTTTTACTTGCAAATGGAGAAGAACGACTTGTAACTTTTATGACAGTGGATTCTTAGATAAAGAGAAAATTGATATGATATGCTGAAAATAAAGGGGGGAAAAGATTGCACGGGATACCTTTATCCTATGAGAAATCCATAGCCCAACATCTTTAAGTAGCTTGTTTTTTGAAGCATCCTGCTGGTTCATGGATTGCAAGCTCTTTAAGACATTGGGCCTTACCTCCCTCCGTCCATGCTTGGAGTGATTGTCACCTTCTAACTTTCACAGTCACTGACGCTAGCAAGACTCGATACTAATACGCTCCTCATCCGAATAAAGACAAAAGCCACGGCAACAGGTAATTACTTCCTAAAATTTGAAAAGTCCTATACAAAAGCCAGAGCGGGAGGACCACGTGGCGACAACTGGGAATTCGACCGTTGCGAAGTGCTTATTTAGCATTCCCCTTTCCTTCAATCTTTCTCCCTCTGTCATTCTTTCTCTATCTGTCTCCCCCCCCCCTCTCTTCTCTCTCATGGCGATTGCTGCGGAGAACCAGGCCCCCCAAGAAACCCCTTTCAAGTTTCAATTTTTTTTTTTCAGGCGTTAGGGGTTTTTGAATCCCCACAATTCGAATTCTAGGGTTTTCATTTCTTTTCGATCCTATGAAGATAATGGTCTCTTTAGGTTTATGTGAATTTTGAGATTGCATTTTTAAAATTCGAATTTTGACTCTAGGGTTTTCTGATTCGAAGATTTAGGAATCTGGGGTTGGTCAATTAGCTTCAATTTTCGAGAATTTAAAATGCTCATTGGTGAAAATTTTATTTATTTATTTCTTTCTTGATTTTTTAATTTTATGTGGATTTTGAAAAATGGGTTCGGTTTTAACTTTCAACAGGCATCTTCGGAGGTTTCGGCGACGGAGACAAGAAGATGGACGCTCAACGACTTCGATATCGGAAAGCCCCTCGGACGAGGAAAGTTTGGTCACGTCTATTTGGCAAGAGAGAAGAGGGTATGTTCCTTTTCTTCTTTTTTATGGGCATGCATTTTGCAAATTTTGATTTTCTCCAGCTGCTATTTATTTTTTTTTGTTTGGTACTTGTGCTCAATTCATGGATATTAGGTGTTTCGATCTTGGTTGGTTTGTTTTGGTGAAGGAATTAATCTTTTATAGGTTCCGACTTGCATTTCGTTCTTGATCTATCGTTTCTTTGGTTGTTTGTGAAGATTGGCATGAATAGGGAAATCTAATGAAGATTTTGGTTTACAATATGCATTCTTATAAGTTTGCCTAGATTCAATTGTATACCCAATTTGATCTGTATGTATCCTTTGAACAGAGCAATCACATCGTCGCACTCAAAGTCCTCTTTAAGAGCCAGCTGCAGCAGTCTCAGGTTGAACATCAGCTTCGTCGTGAGGTTGAGATACAAAGTCATCTTTGACATCCCAATATCGTACGCCTCTACGGCTACTTTACGATCAGGTATATTACTCCTAAGCTACTTATTTTTCAACATCTTAAACCTGTATTACTCAGTGGAAGGAAGGTTTTTTACCCTTTCTTTGGAATGTATTTATTGCAGAAACGAGTTTATTTGATATTAGAATATGCTGCTAAAGGTGAACTGTACAAGGAACTACAGAAGTGTAAATACTTCGGTGAAAGACGTGCTGCCACTGTAAGTTGTTTTCATGTGGTGTTTCGTAATTCATTTACATTTGTACTTTGACATGAATACTTTACCATGTTAGGTCATTTATTTTTTAAAATTGGGCTAGAATTCTGATGTTTGTATGTATGTTGTATTGGCAGTATGTTGCATCATTAGCCCGCGCCCTTATATACTGCCATGGAAAGCACGTAATTCATAGAGATATCAAACCAGAAAACCTACTCATTGGTGCACAGGTACTGACTGCCATCTATGCTTTTATGTGTTTCACTACATTTTCCAATACGTATATGATGTTCATTGAATCAAGTACGGAAATAAGTGGGCCACCATCGGCAGTATTTTTGTGCCTACCGTACTCATCTTCATAGGATGAATCACATCTAATTTTTGGACCATATTTAACCCAATCATTGTGAAAATTTTGGACAATTAATTAAATAGCAAGGCAACAAAACTCAAAATTTTCAAACAATATGATTTTCATTAGGTTTCCTTATGAAATATTCAACATCAAAGGCAAAGCCAGCATTGCCGTAATTAATAAAAATATTCAACTGTCCCATCAAGTCTCAAATAAACAAACTTCAAATAGGAAAAGTCCAAAGAGTCCGAACAAAATTTTAAACAAAGTCCTGAAAATAGTATTTTTCCGGGGCTCGCCTTGATCATCCGTAATTCCTGCGAATTTCAAAAAAACAAAAAAAATTCTCCAAGATAGATCCTTTGGAGAAATCCAAAATGTGCATTTTCTACGCCGTCTGCAAGCTCACCGTGTTTGCAGAGCTCTCCCACATCCTTATGGCTCTTCCTGCTCTGATAGAGACGCTCAAGGAGGAAGTACTGAAAAACATCAGCACACTGTTCCTTTGTCTGGTAATCACCGGGGCTAGTATTTTTGTGCCTACAATACTCATCTTCATAGGATGAATCACATCTAATTTTTGGACCATATTTAGCCCAATCATTGTGAAAATTTTGGACAATTAATTAAATAGCAAGGAAACAAAATATAATAAACATATATACAAGGAAGGGAACTTTAACGAAAAATTCTCGGTACTATTCACTTTAACAAAAAACCATATTTGAACTCAAAATTTTCAAACGATTTTCATTAGGTTTCCTTATGAAAAATTCAACATCAAAGGCAAAGCCAGCATTGCCATAATTAATAAAAATATTCAACTGTCCCATCAAGTCCCAAATAAACAAACTTCAAATAGGAAAAGTTCAAACAAAATTTTAAACAAAGTCCTGAAAATATTATTTTTCTAGGGCTCGCCTTGATCATCCGTATGGTTCATTTGAACGGCAATGTGGCCGCGTGGAGGTTGTCCAAGATGTGCTCCGGACATAGGAAACATAATGCCAAGGATTTTCGAGTGATTCTGAAGGAGGATGTCAAGATGGCCAAGGGGTTGTCGAACTCCACATGCATCCGGATAATGCTTCTGAATTCTCCAAGATAGATCTTTTGGAGAAACCCAAGATGCGCATTTTCGACTCCGTGTGCAAGCTCATCGTGTTTGTGAAGCTTTCCCACATCCTTCTGGCTCTTCTTGCTCTGAGGGAGGCACTCAAGATGTTGACTCCGTATGAGGCCTTGGATTACATGTTGAAGAAAGGGGGAGATAAGTGGGATCCGAGCAGGGGCTACACACAATAGGAATGCTCCAGGGCTACACACAATAGGAATGCTCCAGGGGATGAGATGACAAATGGCTGGTGCAAGGAGATAAGGACATAGTGCGTGGAGAGGCAAAGGGAGAGAAAGCAGAGGAATCGGATGGAGAAAGCAAATCCAAGAAGGAAAAGGAGTTGGCAGGGGAGAGCAAATCCAACGAGGAAGACGAATCGGCAGGAGAGAGCAAGGTATCTTCGGGCGGAGATGAATGAACGGGTAATACTAAAAAAAAAATTAGTATTACCCGTTCATTCGTCTCCGCCCGAAGATACCTTGCTCTCTCCTGCCGATTCCTCTTCCTTATTGGATTTGCTCTCCTTCCGATTCCTTTTCGTTCTTGGATTTGGTCTCTCCAACCGATTCCTCTGGTTTCTGTTCCTTTGCCTCTCCACACACTATGGTCCTCATCTCCTTGCACCAACCATTTGTTATCTCATCCTAGAGCGGTTCTGTTGTTTGTAGCCCCTGCTCGGGTCCCATTTCTCTCCCTCTTTCTTCAACATGCAATCCACAGCCTTATACGGAGTCAACGTCTTGAGCGTCTCTATCAGAGCAGGAAGAGCCATAAGGATGTGGGAGAGCTCTGCAAACACGGTGAGCTTGCAGACGGCGTAGAAAATGCACATTTTGGATTTCTCCAAAGGATCTATCTTGGAGAATTTTTTTGTTTTTTTGAAATTCGCAGGAATTACGGATGATCAAGGCGAGCCCCGGAAAAATACTATTTTCAGGACTTTGTTTAAAATTTTGTTCGGACTCTTTGGACTTTTCCTATTTGAAGTTTGTTTATTTGAGACTTGATGGGACAGTTGAATATTTTTATTAATTACGGCAATGCTGGCTTTGCCTTTGATGTTGAATTTTTCATAAGGAAACCTAATGAAAATCATATTGTTTGAAAATTTTGAGTTTTGTTGCCTTGCTATTTAATTAATTGTCCAAAATTTTCACAATGATTGGGTTAAATATGGTCCAAAAATTAGATGTGATTCATCCTATGAAGATGAGTACTGTAGGCACAAAAATACTAGCCCCGGTGATTACCAGACAAAGGAACAGTGTGCTGATGTTTTTCAGTACATACTCCCCTATGCAAAGGCTTCTTCTGTGAGCTCCTCCCCTTTGTTTTTCAAATTCCATGTGTTTGCATGTATTACATGTGCCTATGTATGCTCACCATTGCAATTTATCACAAGGGTTCTAATGACAAGGCGTTGTAGCCTTCTTTCCACATACAGGTTCTAATGACATGGCGTTGTAGCATTCTTTGTTTACTTCATCAATTGACTAATGAATGATAAGACTTTATTGCTAGCATTCTCGAATGCTTAGGCTATGTGTATGATTCGTGTAGTAAAAATGTATCAGCCTATGCTCATCATCTTTTGCATCTGCCTATGCTCCTCACCTTTTGTTTTCCTTCATGCCATTGGACCAATTCATAAGCCTCCTATATTTGCTATGGAGCTTTGCCTATTCATACATCGTTATATACCCACAATTTGAAATTTTGTGCAGTTAAAGGATAGAAGTGATCAATCCCATTGAACATGGGAGGAAGGAAGTGTATCGAATTGCCAAAAGAAACTGAACATTATATGGATGCATATGCCTCAAATGCATGTTTGTTGTTTATCATTCTGATTTGTGAATTCTGCAGAAACCAAAAGATTTTTGTCTCGAAAAGTTTCATTTTATAATGATCCTGTTTACAGGAAGTAGAGGAGGAAGAATGCTACTTTACCTCAAAGCTCATGTTGGCCATACAGGTCATTCGGGATTTTCCTAATTTTTTTCAATTAGCATGCCATTAAGGCAAACAAGAAAAAAAGCTAGTGTTTTTTCTTTTTTTTGCTTTGATTTTGGATATTAGAATACCCTGGGGATGTGATTGATCAATGTGATGATTTTTTCTCATTTTGTGGCTCAGTCTTGAGATACACGAGCTATTGGCATTGGTGTACCATGATATCCATCAGAGTGGTACCATTTTATGATCAGCGAACTGTTGTATCTGTGAAGGATGCAGCATGGACGATGTTTTGTGGGAAATCAACGAGACACTTTAAAAAGAGCTTTTGCTCACAAGTATGCCCTCTTTTCTACCTAGTTTCATTTTTCCAGACAAAAACCAGCCACCTCATGTGCCATAATCAAATGGTAATCTGTCTCTGCTTTCTTCTGTATCAGGCAAGATTGGTCAAATGCTTACTATATCGGAAAGCTCTGTGAAAAGCTCAAGTTCTTCTCTTATGAGTCATCGGTCATATTATTACAAAGCTATTGTTGCTGGTAGATCGGGAAGCAAAGATTCTACTGATAGTTCTGTTTCATGTCCAATCCATGGGATACTGAACATGGTGATATGTCCAGATTTAGTAAAAAACAACAACAAATAACAATGGTGCTTTCCCTGTGGCTCATTTTCTTTTAGAGGAGGCTGCTAGTAGAGGTCTCTTGCATCAGGGACCTATGGATGTTGATGTTTATTTGAATTGCCATCAGCGGAAATTGCAAATCCTTATGGCAGCTCCAGGGCAATTGAATGCATTGATTCCTGTAAATCCTTACTCGCTATGCTTCTGACATAGACACACAAGAAAGTTCAAGCAAGCAGTGCTGGAATTTATTGGTTGCCGAGGAAGTGAAGGCTATTTCTATTTCTCAACGTGTTTCCCAAGTGAAGAACTGGATTGATCAATCTGGGGATTCTGTTAGTCAATCGATATTCATGTATAAATAGCTTTGATGATGAATCATGCTTACCTCAAACTGTAAAACTCGGTACATTTTTTCCAATCAAACAAAGAATTAGGTTTTCACAAGTCAATAACTTTATGGATCAGTCTACAGATTTTGTAATTTCATGTTTTGTGCAGTACATGCGGTTACTTTACTAAAATACTTACTGCCATGTTATTTATTTAATTATATGAATGCTTTGTTGACTGACGTTAATAGTTGCAGCATTTAGACTCATATTTAGATTGACTTGGACATTTATGCATGCCTTCATTTGGTGGTTACATTCTGTTTATATACTAGTGTTGGTTATGAGGATAACTAGCGAAGTTTTGGTCTTCGATATTTGAAGCCTGCTAGGTTTTATACAGACTATTATATCCTTTGTTTGTCATTTATGCACGAACTGATATGAATATTCGTGGACAACCACCATATACATTTGCTATACATAAAAGCTTTCCTAAAACGAGGCATTTCGTTTTTTGTTAATTGGTTTGCATATGAGATATCTTTTCAAAGGCCATGTTTGATGTTTACTCTTCTGTTAGAAAATAAATGATATGATACAAAATCTGCATTATCTGGTTAATTAGAGATGACCACAATGTTGTATTGGGTTTGAATTTGATGTTAATTTGGTATTGGGAATCATGCCCAGTTCGTGCATAAAGTTCCTTCTGCAGAAATGAATGACCTCTATTGCTCAATCTTGAGAATTCCTGGAAAATATGTGAGACGTCTTCACTCATTAAGGAATTCAAAAACCACCAACGGTTCATGATGAATTTTCTTGTGCATTCTTATACCAGTTGGTGAAAAAGTTGTTTATACTGTAAACAATGGGTTTTTTTTTTTTTTTTTTCGGTAATATTTACTTTTTGTGATTTGGCACTAAGAATGATTAATGATCGGTTTTTCTTGAGGAAACCTAATAATCAGAAAGAGGCAAAATGTAATCCATCTGGATTTTGGGACTGAAGAACCTGATGATATGGTTTCTGTCTATCACTATATGGTGTCGAGGTTGTTAAAAGGATGCACCATTTGTCATCGTTTGAATGAGAAGGCACTATAGAACGTGGTGCCATAAATCATAGAGATGTAGCTTTGTAGTGCCAAGAATGATTATGGCCTACTACTTCTTTCAAGACAAGTTATGTCATGAAAACTACAAACCGAGTATTGCCATAAGTCAAGAGTATTTGTTATTTGAGAAACCCAAAATTCTTTTGAGATGAATTAATTAACATTGTTTTGGAAAGATGATAATTGGGATTGTGGTGGGCCGAGGCAAAAAAAAGGAGATAACATTCTTGTGTGGGGGTTTGAGACCCGTGACAATTTTGAAAGCTTATAAGCTAAAGGATGAAGGCCAACAAGTGATTTTCCAAAAACGGCTTGTAAGGCATTTAGGCCCTAATTATATGAAGATACAGTCTTCATTGCTTCCTACTTCTTAAAGTACGAAAAATGATAAATTGAGTGATACCATTAAAAGCAACCACAATTATGAAAGAATTGTGGGGGTTGGTTAAAAGTAGTTTACTAATTGAATGACATTTAAGATGTCATCTCTTGTAATGAGTAATTGTTCAAGGTATGGCAAGCTTAGAGATATTCTTACAAATACCTTAAATGTGAGGGAGTTTACCCAAGTGCTTATTGTTAGCAAATTACTTAGTAATGAAGTCATAATATAAATTTTGAGGACTTGACATTTCAAACAATGTCAAACAACTACTCTCGTATGAAATATAATTTCATAATATGGAAGTGCACACCATAAGAGTAGTCAACCTTAGTGATACCAATTATTAAAGGTTTGATTAGAGAGTAAATTGATCATCGAGGGGAATGAGGCTAAAGCCAACACAACTAATGAATCAGCCGAGCGGAAACCTAACTGAGTTGATTGGAGATTCCATGGTCTAAGTTCAATAGGCAAACTAGTTGGGCATGATTCAAAGAAGTTAACACACTATATGCCTCATTCCTATGGTGGAAGAAATGTGTTGTCTGCAGAAGTTTTAGGATTTATATTTGTACTTAATGACAGTGATATCTTATAAATAAGAGGAATAAAGCAGACTATTCTTAATCAGTGGTCACCTATGTGAGAGTAGAAGTGGATCGCTTCTAACTCTAAATCTCTTATGAATCCGGGATTTGTTCAGGACCAAAATGAACACAACCGTATGAACCGGAATATATTAGGATTAGTGATGTGTGTTGCTTATTGTCTCGGTTTACTACTGCAGTGAACAGTTCAAGATTCTATATTCACTGCGTCACTAAGTAAATCTGATAAGTATTCACTAGGGTAGGTTCAAGTCCAAAAGACACCTCTCTCAATGCATCTCTTGTCCGCCTGTACTCTCAAATTCTTCCTAATTTTTCATTCATGTGGAGGATTGTTGGAAATTATATATTATATATTATAGTATATAATTTTAATAATTGAATGAAAAATATTGTTAACCAATTTCTTAGAAAGGTTATGTTGTTTAGTTGTATTCCCTTGATAAGTGATGTATACTTATAGATGAAAAGTTACATCTCTTTGATAAGTAGAAATTGGATTCTATATAAACCCATGAAACCATTGGTATTAAATATAGAAAATTAGAGTTAATTTTTATTCTTGAGAAATAGGGTTTCCCCACTTTGTTTCTCTCATGTTTTGTGAGTCAAATTCCGAGTTGTGTCTTGAGAGTACGGAATATATAAAGTTCGTCAGAGTCCGAAGATTGAAGTGCTTTGACTTTAGATTATAGATTGTTGAATCCTGGGAGATGGACGCCTACCGAACTAGAAGCACAAGAATAGGGGCGAAATTCTATCTTTAGGACATTGCATTTATGCAAGCCTCAATCTCTAAGTTTGTCAGTTATTCTAATTTTTTCTCTAATTGTTTATATTAATCTCATATATAATTGATATTGTGAATTTCTTTATGATTATTATCATTGGAATTCTTGTGTTATTTTCATATTTTCTAATATTGCTCCAATAGTAAATACTGATCAAATCAAAAGAAGTTGGTTCATTGAAGCTTCCATCGCATTCTGCAAGATTCAGCACCTCAACGCCATAATAAATATTAAAACTCAAGTGAGTCTTGTCAACTCAAGTTGGTCATACAACGAACTCTCTCACGAATATTTTTTCCAATCCGATCGATGACATGCATAGGATTTGAACTTGATAGAGAAATGATGAACTTAATTAAAGTGTTTATGTGGTTTTTTATCTGATTAACTCGGAGTAATTGTTCTTGATTTGAATCAGATGCTTGATTTACTTTTACTGTATTACTGTTTAGATTAGAGTGTAAATCTAAACGCTCAGAACACATTGTTTAGATTTTGAAACCACGTTCTGCTACTTTATAGGTGCAGATGTTTGATTTTGTTTAACTCTGTGATATTTCTATTGACGTGATGGGTCTACTATGTCAGGGTTCGGGTGGAATTACTATCAAGAAGACCAGCCAGGCCCTATTAATCGGTGTATATGATGAGCCTGTGACTGCTGGGCAGTGCAACAAAGTCGTTGAGAGGCTGGGCGATTACCTCACCGAGCAGGGTCTCTAATTGCTTCGGTGAGAGTTGATTATCTCCCCATTCCCCATTCCCCTTCTTTTGTTTGGCCGTTACTATTTAATTTCGACTCATGCTCTGGATATGGAAATATCTTTGTGAATGATAGTCCTTTAATTTTACAATTATTATCCCCAAAGTTTATTTTCTTCCTTCTTATACTTGAAAACATATGTAATTGGTGTCGTTATCTCCCGAATGCCTACGTGAAACGGGTGTTTGTACTATGTAGTTTGGTTTACCAGACCATGAGTTGGGCGAGCTTGTCTAAAGATATTCACCACTTTCGAGTTTTGAGTGGTGAATTTTATCATGAGTAATGCTAAGGACACTAAATTATAGACAAAATTTGCACATTTGTCAAATTTGGGTGAGCTTGTCCGGAATTAACTGAGCCATTTGTCAAATTCACTTTGAATTTTATCATTGTTACAAAGGAAACACTTCAAAGTCGAAAATTCCCAGATGCCTTATTCACTACTTTTGAAGTTGTCTAACTTTGATATTTTGCCATTCAGTATTACGGTCTGGTGGTATTCCTCTTCGCTTGAGAGTGAGAGGTATTGGGTTCAAATCTCGTGGATGGCGAATTTGGTACCAAATTAGATTACCCATTTTGTGTGGTTTAGCCAAACTTTTCCTTTCAAATCATCTCACACAAATTCCAAGTTAATGGGTCTTTTGACCTATTAATTATCCAAACCCAAATGGTATCAAGCCTACAACTCCCAACTCCAAATTCTTCAATATTATAATGGTACGAAAACCATGAAGGTTCTTCAATGCGACAATCACCCACTCGATCAAGTTCTTGAATTCGAAATCGTACAAAGGGCCCAAATCCTTTCAAATTAATCCGTCATTCACATATCAAGTCAAAAATGACACAAGCCGCGCCAAGCCTCAAATGGCACGAAGCGGCGTCAACTCTCAAACGGCACGAAACCGTGTTAAGTCTCAAACGGCATAGAGTTGTCCCAAATTTCTCAAGTAACACAAAATCATTCTAAAATGGCAAAAAGCCAATCCAAAATCCAAATGGTACAAAACCCATCAAAATCAAATCACACTAGAATTACGCCGGTTTGATTCCGTCAAGGATACATAAGTAATCTAGAAATTCAATCTAGACGCAACCGCACAAATCCAAAAGTACCAAATTTTAGTGAGGTCATTAACTTGCTAGACGCCCCAAAAATTCAAACCATTAACGAACTAGGTCTTTTGATTTCATCAAGGATACGTAGGCAGTCTAGTACTACATTGTTTGATATCGAGATAATTTTTCAAGAGTTGTTGATGCAAGTTTCGGGTTTCGCCAGATGGTAGCAGTGGCGCTGGACGAGGACACGCACTCGAGTGGCCTAACCTCCCACAACGGTAGCAGAAAATTCTCAACCCTTCATACTTGAATCGAATCACATAGGAGCCCCTAGCTGGGCATGGTACTGAACAACATGTAATTAAGGGCCGTAATGCGTCAAAATCCACCCTTCATCTCAAGAAACCTGGAAATCCAACCTCTGCTGGATCTTCAACTTGAAGAACTCTCGGTTCGGTAAGCAGAGATTAAATTTGACGACAAATAAATGTTTACATCGATCTTCCGCAAGAAGATTGAATAAAAATTCGTGGAAAAGCGTACCACATCTATGACTACCTCCAATTCGATACCACAAAGTAATTAAGCCACTCCGTTGCATCGACAAAAGCATATGGAATTAGGAGTGCATTTCATGTCACGTTGGAATTATGAAGAGATTACAAACCATGTATGAAAAAGCAATGAAAACAACAAATAAGACATAAGAAAGGGTTTCACAATATCCAGAGCTTTGAGCAAGCCATTGTTGAGGATGTTCATTTTTGAACCGGACCACTGCAAGTCGAGCCTTTCTTTAACGCACCAATGTCCACCTCAACACCACAATAAAGTTCCAAGAAAAGGCGGCAAGACAAACCGACGGGACTGTCACACCCATCAAATAGGGTTGTCTAGCATAAAAACAATAAAAATAAATAAACATGAAGAGGTTTTCATTCAAAATATTGGCTTGATTTCTCTATTTAATCGCAATACAGGGCTAGCCAATCACGCAGAAGTTGATTTTATTCATAGGAACTGATTAACAAGTGCTCTAGTTATATCATTCGGTTTCCGATTCCAGAAAACTGATGGAGATCATGTAAAAGCTATAAGCCACGTGCAAGACGAAACTTGTATATGGTACTAGAAGAAGAAGAAGAAACCGAGACAAGTATAAATACCTCAATCGCAGACATAAGCAATTTTTTGCAGCCACAAATCTCAAATCCCTCACAAGGCAAGTATTCGGAAGGAGTCCCGTATTTATCATACTCGGAATATAAATTACTCTGAAACGCAGCTCCTTCAACGTCTGAAGGACGAACAACCCTAACAGGGCCGCCGTTCGAATATCTCACCACCACCTCATCAGGGGCACTAGGACCTAACAGAATTAATTTAGATATTATCATTACATAATAGTTTTGTAATTACACAGAGAGAACTGATGATAGACCACGAAATGAAATGATACCGGCAATTAATTACGAGATAAACCTAATTAACGTGACGGGGAAGTGCGGATCATGAAGATTAATAATATCAAAGTGTTGAAGCCCCACCCACCCAGCAGCATGCAACGAAATTGAAAACAACTAAATTCGTACGTACTCTTTAAACTTGTGCCAGAGGAACGGGAACGGAAGCGGGAGGATCTGAATCCTGCAGATTAAACATGAAATTCTTTTATCAGGTTAGGTTAGGGTTTTGGGAAAACCCCCAAAATTATGCAAATGAATAATTAACTACCAAGCCAAACCAAACCATAGTTTTATATACGGATCCCAAAAAAGAAGGGAAAACCAAGGCGGCTATTAAAGGAAGATCGACCAAAACCTTGCGAGCCACAGATAAGATGGAGAAATCAGCTGGGATCAACAACATAAAACATAAACAGATCGAATTTCCGTGTTTTCTCACCTCCGGAGCGGGAACCAGAACGGCCGCCGCCGCCGCCACGACCCATTTTGCTCACTGACGAGGACACAACCCAAAACAACCCAACCGTCGGAGGGCCTTTGCCGGCTCTAGGGTTTTAGCTTTTCGTATCCTAGTTCACTTTCAGTCTCCTCAGGGTGGAGAAATTGTTATGACATGTGATTCTCAATTTTTTTTGTTTTTTATTTTAACCTGTGAATCTGAATTGTGAGGCTTAAATATTAAAATGATCTCGGTGTTATAGTCATATAGTCAACTTAGTTCCCGTATTTTTGAACTGACTAATTTAATTCTCGTGTCTATGTTAGCTAATTATGAACATTTCATTCCATCTCTTTTAAAAAATTTATAAAAAAAATTATACTAGATATAATTATCCTTTCTCTTTACAGAAAGATAAAAATCAATAAGAAATAACACATATAAGAGATAAAACTTCTAATCTGAAAAATGATTAAGGTTGTGACGTAGAAAAAAGAGGGGGTAGTGTTAGGAAGGAGGTTGGGGAGTTGGAAGGAGAATAATTTTTCTTTTAATTTTAATTTAATTTTATTTTTAAATATTTTAAATAGAATAAATAATTTAATAAAATAAGTGTAAAATAATTTATAAATTTTTTTTACAGAAATTAGATGAAAATATTCTTAATTGGCTAAAGGAGATAAATACAATGATCAAATTGGCCAAATTGAAAACATATGGACTAAATTGACTCAATGACTAAAATACAGGAACCATTTTAACATTTCAACTTAATTGTGATTATTAAATAAGGCTTGTTAACATTCCACGTATTGTTGAATACAACCCACATACTTAATACACTCCACATTTGGCTTTTCAATCAAAGTTTATCTTAATGCACCCCACATTTGTTTTTTCAATCAAAGTTTATCTTAATGCATCCCATATACTTGGAACAAACAATATTATCTATACTAAACGGGTGGAAAAATAAGAGACTAAGTTAAACCTCATAATGAGCTAACAATGAGCCAACAATAGGGTGAGATGTCCAGATTTATTAGAAAAAAAACATCAAATAACCATGGTGCTTTCCCTGTGGCTCATTTGCTTTTAGAGGAGGCTGCTAGTAGAGGTATTTTGTCTCAGGATGCATTTGTTAAGTTCTTGGGGTTGGAAGGGATTACAAGGAATTGGGGGAAGGATATGAGCACCAAATGTTGCCTCTTTCTTGCTGAACTTTATTATAATCTTGGGTCATTGTCTTCCGATGTTTCCAGGCTATCTGAATTCATGTCTTGGCATCTTACCATCTTCGTAAAATTATTGAATCAGTAGCCGTGGAAGATGAAATTATTTTTGGGCTTAAGAGATTCTTTGGTACTGATGGAATATCCGTGAACGCCTCTGTTTGCCAGGATGTATCATTAGATGGTTCTCCTTTAACAAGTAACACTTCCTTCTGGGTTTGATTTTTCTGGTTAAGTGGACGGTATCTATTTTGGATGGCAACAAGGAAAAAGCCCACCAAGAATTCTATATTTCCTTGTCTCTTTTGGAAAAGAAGGAAAATACGAATGATTCCCAATGTGTGATCCGCCTTCCATATTGCAAGGTTGTTAAACTTGTGCCAGAGGAACGGGAACGGAAGCGGGAGGATCTGAATCCTGCAGATTAAACATGAAATTTTTTTATCAGGTTAGGTTAGGGTTTTGGGAAAACCCCCAAAATTATGCAAATGAATAATTAACTACCAAGCCAAACCAAACCATAGTTTTATATACGGATCCCAAAAAAGAAGGGAAAACCAAGGAGGCTATTAAAGGAAGATCGACCAAAACCTCGCGAGCCACAGATAAGATGGAGAAATCAGCTGGGATCAACAACATAAAACATAAACAGATCGAATTTCCGTGTTTTCTCACCTCCGGAGCGGGAACCAGACGGCCGCCGCCGCCGCCACGACCCATTTTGCTCACTGACGAGGACACAACCCAAAACAACCCAACCGTCCAGAGGGCCTTTGCCGGCTCTAGGGTTTTAGCTTTTCGTATCTTAGTTCACTTTCAGTCTCCTCAGGGTGGAGAAATTGTTATGACATGTGATTCTCAATTTTTTTTATTTTTTATTTTAACCAGTGAATCTGAATTGTGAGGCTTAAATATTAAAATGATCACGGTGTTATAGTCATATAGTCAACTTAGTTCCCGTATTTTTGAATTGACTAATTTAATCCTTGTGTTTGTCTATATTAGTTAATTATGAACATTTCATTCCATCTCTTTTAAAAAATTTATATGAAAAATTATACTAGATATAATTATCCTTTCTCTTTACAGAAAAATAAAAATCAATAAGAAATAACACATATAAGAGATAAAACTTCTAATCTGAAAAATGATTAAGGTTGTGACGTAGAAAAAAGAGGGGGCAATGTTAGGGAGGAGGTTGGGGAGTTGGAAGGAGAATAATTTTTCTTTTAATTTTAATTTAATTTTAATTTTAAATATTTTAAATAAAATAAATAATTTAATAAATAAGTTTATAATAATTTATAATTTTTTTTTACAGAAATTAGATGAAAATATTCTTGGCTAAAGGAGATAAACACAATGATCAAATTGGACAATTGAAAACATATGGACTAAATTGACTCAATGACTAAAACACAGGGACTATTTTAACATTTCAACTTAATTGTGATTATTAAATAAGGCTTGTTAACATCTCACGTATTGTTGAATACAACCCGCATACTTAATACACCCCACATTTAGCTTTTCAATCAAAATTTATCTTAATGCACCCCACATTTGTTTTTTCAATCAAGGTTTATCTTAATGCATCTCATATACTTGGAACAAATAATATTGTCTATACTAAACAGGTGGAAAAGTAGGAGACTAAGTTAAACCTCATAATGAATTAACAATAAGCCAACAATATTTTTCCATGCTACCACTGACACACCCCGACCAAGATCAGGGCGTGCTGGCCGTCACACGAAGGTGATGTAGCCATGTGCACGTGCGGAAGCTAATGAGATAGTAATGTAAAAGTACGAATAATTTAAAAAAAAAACTAGCATACAAAGTACTAAGACTAGTGCTAGCGTAAGTGAAACGCTAAATTCAGAGCAAGACTACAGCAGTCCAAAGAGAATGATATGACAATAGTACACCCGAAGGTGACCCTATATCGGTGAGTGTCTGTCAGAAATGCCGGGACGTCCTCTGGGAAAACCACCGAACCCGCTAAGCTACTAGAACCTGAAGGGGCGAAAAACAAAAGCGTGAGTGGGCAAAAACAAAGTTCTTTGTAAACCATTTAGTAAAATACATTCTAACCCCTCGCCGTAAAACCTGTATACTTCCCAGAAAATAAACATATATACATAGGTATAAATATGCCAAATATGCTCAAGGTAGGCCGTCACGCTCAAAGCCTCATAATAATATGCAAGTGCTCAGGTATAAACCGTGTCAATAACTTATTACTGGCAGCCGGAGTCACCTAAAGTGACCTGTACGGCTGAATCTAGAGCTCAAATCTCAATCTCAACAACTAAACAACTGAACCTGCCCACGAGTCAGAACCACCTAAAGTGGTCTGTACGACAGGCCTGGGTGTGACGTATATATATACGCTCTAGTGCTACGATCACGTGAAGGCTGTGCGAATAATCGCGGGTCACCTACGAGTCGGAACCACCTAATGTGGTCTGTACGATAGGACTGTGCACCTAGCTTGGATCCAAGCTGAGCATGTGGTGTGGGAGGTGAACATCACGTGAAGGACTGTGCCCTGCTCAGGGCGGGAGCACTAACACCGGGGGTGCAGGTTATGAGCACGCTAAGCATCTCAAACTACTGCTGAATGTAAATATGAATAACCTTTACCTGACACTTACCTGTGCGTCCACAGCACCCAATACGCATATATATATATATATATATGTATGCCACTACTAATGCATGTGATGATACATAAACGACAAACATATGGTGCATGGCATGAAACAAATAACCCTTTTTATTTAATTTCTGGGAATATAATTGCATATAGGTATATACGGAAAACCAAAAGCCCACTCACTGATATGTGGAAGGGTTGTAGCCCCCCAACCTCGAGTGACCACGCTCGTCCTCGGGATACGTATCACCTATACGCGAAACAACTACAAAAACGTCAATTTAAAAGCACATAACCAACTTCTCGTAATAACTTCTCATACATTGCTCAAAATGGACAAATGAATATACCAACGTGCTCTACACAACCTCAAGATCACAACCATATTTTTAAAATAATTTTTGGACCCCTCACGAGCCCCCACGCGCCAGAATAGGCACGGACCTACGCGCCCCCCACGCGCGGCCACGTGCCATGCACACTGACAACGTCAACTGACGCCGTTAGGAATATTCCGTCAAAACTGACAGATTCCGTTAACGGCGTCAGGAATATTCCATCAGAATCCTGACGGAATATTCCGTCACCTTCTCCGGCGCCGTTGCCGGAAAACTGGAAAATTTTCAAACTTCGATATCTCACTCGTTTTTCAACCATTTTTCTCGATCTTTATACCAAAATGAAGCTTAGGACTAGTAGAATCACGATAGACTACTTTTAAGGCCTAAAAATCAAGGAATTATACCTGTCCACACAATCTAAAACCGGCCAACTTTGAACAGGGCAATCCCAACGTCCAAAATCGCCCAACGAAGCACTCCCAAGCTCCTTGGGACCTCACCAACACATCTACAAGCTTAAAAAGTCCAAAAACATGCTAGACTAAGTTTGCATGAATAGTAATCAAAACGGATTACTTCGAATCGACGTGAAAACTAATGATTTCTCACCTGAAAATAGTATGGTCGTGCTCCTCTCAACCTCACGAGTTCAATGGTGTAGTTGGTTCCCTCGATCTATGATGTTTTGGGTGAGTTTGGTGTTTGTCCGTATGAGTTTGAAGAAAGAAGAAGAAAGAATGGAGCTCGGGAGAGAGAGAGAGACAGAGAAGAGACAGAGGGAGAGGGAATCACGGGAGAGATAGAGACAGTGTGTGTGAGTGTGTGTGTGGTCCAACACATGCCACACCACACAAAACAACACTAAACGTAAATGTAACGAACTAGGGGTAAAAAGGTCAATTTACACGTACGTTTTTATAATCTCGGGACGGGATGTCACAACCACCACACCCTACACTCTTTACATCTTGAAATGCTAATATAAAAAGCCTTATATTAGTTTAGATGAGAGCTGCTCAGCCGGCTCTAATCAAATTGTTTTTTTTTTTTTTTTTGGCTTAATTTCGCAGAGAAAAAACCCTAATCCCTTTTTAGTAAATATAAGTAGTATAACTGCATTCGAATTGGTAAGTAATTCGAACGCCTCTTTCGTTCGATCGAGCTTATTTAATTTTTAGTGTTTTTTTCGATTTTGTTTCGGTCTTCGTGTTCTGAATTTCTATGCTTTTTCAGTTCTCGATTGCAGCTACCAAAGTCAAATGGGAGCCTCCCCCCAAAGAAGCTCAGGCATGCCCCCCTCTCTCTCTACACTTTTTCTTTCACAGTTCAGCTATTTTTTTGTTGGATTAGCTCAATGTGTTTGAATTTTATATGATTGTATTATTGTGGGTAAATTTCGAGCATTGTTAGCAGAAGTCAACTTGATGAGAACAGAGGAGAGAAATTTGACTTCTGTGTAGCATTAATATCTGGGAAATTTATTGAACTTCTTATCATTGTTTCAACAAATGAGTGAGCCGGAAAATGTGAATTGAATGCGGGTTTTCTGTATGGTAGTCCGATTCATAAGCGCTTAGATTTTCTCAGCTGAAGATGTTTTCTTTTCTGATCAGTGATTAGATAGAGTTCGTACTGTTTAGTTTGGTCATGGCAGGAATTCCGTCTTTCACAAACATATCATGAAGGATTTCACAAGTTGCAAGTTAAAGAATACAAAAAGGCCGCCGAGCTGTTAGAATCCGTCCTAAAAGATCCTCTTATAGAAAACGCGCAGGTGAGCGTAAGATCTTCAACGAACATTTTTCGATGGCAGTCTTCCTTTTGGGTCTGCGGAACCTTCAACAACGTTTAGCATATTATGACAGTGCTTTTCGATGTTATCTTCAAGCTGTAGAGACTGATACCAAAGATTCGGTTGTCTGGAACCAGCCGGGAACATTGTCATGCTCAATGGGTTCTCTCAGTAATCAGTATATCCCGCTGGACATTTGAGCAAGGGCTTATAGGTAGCCCTAATAATTGTGAGCAATTTATGATGTTTGAATTTTTTTTTTCTTCTCTACATCTTTTAGATTCATGATGATGGGCTCAGCACCATATTTCGACAGATACATATTATGTCTTCTCTGAAATTTTTACGCAGGGAACTACATGGAGAAATTATTGGAAGTTCTTATTGCTATTGGTGATGAGGTTGCATGCCCTTCTGTGGCTGAGTTAACTTTGAGGCATTGGCCATCACATTCTCGTGCTTTGCATGTCAAGAGAACCATTGAAGAGTCCGAGCCAGTTCCATATTCTCCTTGAGCTATAGATGAGCTAGAACCTAAACATGTTCGTCTAAAATTTGTTGACAAGAGAAAAGCTACCGATGAAAATCTAGAGGAGGGCTGTTGCATCCAAGAAGTGGAAGCAGATCGTAGATCTCATACCTTGCAGAAGCTTCTTGGGCTGCTCTTGTTGATGCACTCTTGGATATCTTGCTCCCGTTGAATGGGTGTCAGTCTGAGATGGGGGATGCAAAATCACACCGATCTGGAGATGTCAGATTAATTTTGCATTTACCTCCTAGCTAAAGAGAGTACCATAGGATTTGAGGAAAGATAAGGGTTTAACTTATCCCCAATCAGTGGAAATGCTGTATTTGGTGATTGTAACACTGAAAGAACAGGTGTTGTTACAGAAAAAGCAACAAATTCTGTAGACTTCCAACCACAGGAAAGGCGGAGCACTCGTCTTGAAAGGCTTAAAAGCTGTAAACCGGGGAAAGATATTGATATGTAAAATTCAAACTATTATATATTATATTATTTACTTTTCATAATTTTAATAAGTATTTTAAACAAAAAAAATAATAAGAAATAATGAAAATTATTTGTTAATCACTAAAAATAGATTTGAAGCTTTGTCAAATTTTACAGTAGCTCTTTGCTACCATTCCATATCATGATACATAAGATATGATATTTCGGTTGAAAAATATTAATCTTGTTTTTTTTTTACTATTATTACTAATTTGGACTTTTTAAACTTATTCTCTAGAGATGCTCTCAACTTTGGAGCAAATTAATAGTCAAAACATATAATTTAGAGAAATAAGTTTGCAAGGACTCTAATAAGGAGTCCGAGCATATATATTTAGGAAATTGTTATTAGCATTTCAAAAATCTCATTCTACACTCCTTACAAGTGTATTTTTCTTTCTAATTATAGAAAGTTTAGAATATTAAATGAGATTTTTGGAATGCTAATAACAATTTCTTATATTTATATGTAATATAGTAATCCTCCAATAAAGAGTATTGGGTATAGATTTATAATGGTTGATTAAAAAGTTAAACTATTAGCTTTTCAAAATAGAAAATACATCAAACAAATACAATATTTTACTAAATTTAATGACTAAATATGCGTTAGAAAATTAAGAGAATAACATGAAATACATTGTGTAGTGCGATAAGACATTATCCTAAAAGCAAAAAAACATAGAATCCAACATACATTTCCAAATCTAGAATTAATATATTAATTCATCAAGTCTGCTGTTTGGAGCTCTACATTCCCAAGCATAATGCCCAAACTTTTGACAATTATAGCATTGAACATGAGATTTTTCATACCTTGAGTTTGAGCGTCCTCTTCCGCGACCTTTTGTTGAGCTTTCTCCTCTTTCGTAGTTGCTATGGTTGTTTAAGTTCCAACCACATCCACGCCCATGTCCACGTCCGCGACCTCGACCACGACTTCTTCCGTATCGGCTTCTCTCATTGTCGAAGCTTTCTTCTTTCTTCTTTGACTGAACATGCGTCTTAAGGAGCTGCTCATCATTCCCTTGCCTCTTCTTATGTTTCTCTTCATATGCTTGTAGCGAACCCATTAATTGCTCTATACTAATTTCTTCCAAGTTTTTAGTTTCTTCAATCGTCACGACAATGTGCTCGAACTTGGGGTCTAACAAGCGTAGTATCTTCTCCATAATTCTAACATCTTCTAACTTTTCTCCGTTTCTTTTTAATTGATTGGAAACGGCTAAGACTCTTGAGAAATAATCAAAGATTGATTCAGACCCTTTCATTTGTAGAGATTCGAACTCACCTCTTAATACTTGAAGAAGAACCTTTTTCACTTGTTCGGCTCCTTTGTAAGAGGTTTGAAGCTTCTCCCATGCTTGCTTGGCAGAGGTTGCACTCGAGACCTTCTCAAAGCCAATGTCATCTAATGCTTGGTAGATAAGATAGAGAGCCTTCTTGTCTCTCTTTCTTGAATCTTTCAAACTCTCATTCTGGGGTTGAGACAGAGTAGCTTCATCTTCTGGCTCAGTGTAGCCTTTCTCCACGACTTCCTAGACATCGTGTGCACCCAAAAGGGCCTTCATTTTGATACTCTAATTATCGAAGTTGTTGCTGTCGAGCACTGGAACTTGGAAGGCTGCCATAGCATTGCTAGCCATAGCTCTGGTACCACTTTGTTGGGGTTTAAAAATGCTTCACTACTTGGAGAGGTTTATCTTACAAAGAAAAATGTAACGCAGCGGAATTGATAGGCAAGAGAAAGAAAGAAAGAATTCTCAAAGTATAAAACAAGGTTTTTATTCAATCACAAACTTAGTACAAAAGGAAACACTCAAACACTCTTAGAAGCTTTGTTGCTTCTTCTTACTTCTTACTTGACACTCTCACTTCTTGCTACTTGCTCTCTTGGTTGTTACAAATGGTGTGGATGCCTTCTCCTTTTATAGGCATGAATGGAACCTTGGAGAAGCATGAAAACATCATGCTAGAGATATCTAGATAATTCCACTACCTTCCTAAGCTAGAATTATCTACACTAATCTTGTATGTTGGTGGAATCCTCACCATTCTTCTAAACTCTTCCACCAACTTGAACTTTGCTAGAATTCTCTAGCATGTACATGGATCTTTCTTTGTGTATGGGCCGGATCAATTATCTTTGGGCCAAGACAAGATTACAATTCAACAGGGCCGTTGCAGCAAGTGGAAGCAGATCATAGATCTCTTACCTTGCAGAAGCTTCATGGGTTGCTCTTGTTGATGCACTCTTGGATATCTTGCTCCCGTTGAATGGGTGTTAGTCTGAGATGGGGGATGCAAAACCACACCGATGTGGAGATGTCAGATTAATTTTGCATTTACCTCCTAGCTAAAGAGAGTACCATAGGATTTGAGGAAAGGAAAGGGTTTAACTTATCCCCAATCAGTGGAAATGCTGTATTTGGTGATTGTAACACTGAAAGAACAGGTGTTGTTACAGAAAAAGCAACAAATTCTGTAGATTTCCAACCACAGGAAAGGCGGAGCACTCGTCTTGAAAGGCTTAGAAGCTGTAAACCGGGGAAAGAAGATATTGATATGTAAAATTCAAACTATTATATATTATATTATTTACTTTTCATAATTTTAATAAGTATCTTAAACAAAAAAATAATAAAAAATAATGAAAATTAGTTTGTTAATCACTAAAAATAGATTTGAAGCTTTGTCAAATTTTACAGTAGCTCGCTGTTGCCATTCCATATCATGATACACAAGAGTTGATATTTCGGTTGAAAAATACTAATTTTGTTTTTTTTTTTTTTTACTATTATTACTAATTTGGACTTTTTAAACTCGTTCTCTAGAGATGCTCTCAACTTTGGAGCAAATTAATAGTCAAAACATATATATTTAGAGAAATAAGTTTGCAAGGACTCTAATAAGGAGTCCGAGCATATATATTTAGGAAATTGTTATTAGCACTCTAAAAATCTCATTCTACACTCCTTACAAGTGTATTTTTCTTTCTAATTATAGAAAGTTTAGAATGGCAAATGAAATTTTTGGAATGCTAATAACAATTCCTTATATTTATATCTAATATAGTAATCCTCCAATCAAGAGTATTAGGTATAGATTTATAATGGTTGATTAAAAAGTTAAACTATTAGCTTTTCAAAATAGAGAACACATCAAACAAATACAATATTTTACTAAATTTAACGACCAAATATGTGTCAGAAAATTAAAAGAATAACATGAAATACAATGTCTAGTGCGATAAGACAATATCCCAAAAAAAAAAAACATAGAATCCAACATAAATTTCCAAATCTAGAATTAATATATTAATTTAGTAAAAGCCACAATCACATGTGCGGGGAGGGAGACAGAGACAATAAAGTAAAGCAGCCCATAGATTAAACGAAAAAAACGTGGCAGAATCGCAGGCGCTCTCGCCTCGTCATTCGAGGATCCTCATTCTACTCACGCCGCTACATCCTTCTCTCTCTAAATCTGAGATAATTGAAGTTGCAGAAGCAGAGAAGAAATGGGGATTCCATCGGAACTGAGGGACATGTGGGTGAACCGCAAGGATGCTCTGGTGATTCCTTCGCCAGCTGAAGAGGCGAAGCTGCTGAGATCCAAGAAGTGCATCGACGGTTTGCGTTTTTTACTTAATCCTTTCCATTAATTACAATTAGCAGCAGCATCTGGTTGTTTAAATTGTTCTAGGTTGCATATCGATTGGTTTTTTAATCTCTAATGTTTTGATTATTTGAAGTTAATCAAGAATTTGATCTGTTGTTTTGTAAAAGTTGGGAACTTTTTGTTTAAGTTGAGGTGAATTTAATCTAGCTATGTTGTGTTTGGGGAATTGGGAGTGTGAATTTAACATCGGGGAAGTAAATTATTGCGTAATTAGTTGGAAACCTTTGGGTCCATTGCTCGCTGATGTTAGGTTGGATGCTTACATTATCTGTAGTATATGATGTAGTGTATTTGCGTGTAAGGCCCAACCGCCATACGCGATAGCATGTAAGGGAGCGTGTTGAGACTTGAGACTGAGATTCCACAGCGGTTTATTAAGTCCGTGCTTAATAGTTTAACTAATCTTGGGCATCCCCATCATTGCCAATTGGTTATAGCCTTTAGGTTCATGTCTATTGAGTAGAATGCATGTTCAATCACTCGACATGGGTTGCTCACGTGTTTGGTTTGAGTGACCCCGCGTGTTGAGAGTGGGAATCCCACATGGGATAGTTAAGCCTTGCTTCATATTTTAACTGATCTCGGGCATCGCTACCCATTGCCAGTTGGTTTTAGGTTCATCTCTAGTTGAGTAGAGTGTATGTGTGGTAGATCGATTCATCAGCAACGTATTTGTAGAGAGAGACTGATGGCTAATTGATTACGACGTGATAATAGGTAATGCATGTGACATTTGGACAATGTCCGACATCACTTAACATTTTCATTATCTGCAGAGGGTGTTCAGGAGGGATTCAAGTATGCTGCCGTTGCAGCTGTTATCTCAAGTGTGGCTACGGTATGTGTAGCGTTCCCCAACTTTCCATAATTTTATTCGTTTGTTAGAAATTGGTAGGCTGTATAACCACTGCTTTGAACAACAAAACTGAATCCTATTCTTCGTTTCTTACTCTCTGCTACTGCCTGTTTTTATTCTTCATGTCCTCTTGGGTTATGCTCTTAAACTTGTTGGTATTGCCTTCGTAGTTGAATGTAAAATTCATCAAACATCTATGAATTTTGAATGTCCGTGGGTTTCCATGTGAACTTGAAAATGGAGTGCTAACACAATTGTATGGTTGTCTGTGAGAAAAAGGAAATGGTCTTGCAGCTTTGTTTTTAACAAATTTAGGTCAGTAGTAACTCTGTAGTATAGTTCACACAGATTGTATATGTTTGGAGGCTGTGTCTTGGTGGACTTGCTCCAAACTTGGGTGGTCGTCGTCTCGAGTCATAGAAATAGCCCTCTTTGAGAATAATGGGTATGGCTGTGTATGTTGTGTCCTTTCCAGATTGGCCCATTTTGTATTGAGAGCCTCTTACACTAGGAGTCTAGGATATCTTTTACTAGTCTGTTTTTTACCCTGAGTTCGAGGAAGATCTTGCTATCTTGGTATATTTTATAATGACTACTATTTACTTCTTCATATTCCCAGTTGGGTGCTGTTCGTACGGTACCTTGGGCGAAGTATAACCTCAACTACACCGCTCAAGCACTCATCATCAGTGCTGGTATGACTTATTTATTTAATTTTTTTGCATGGCTTACAGAGATTCTAGCTTTGTGGCAATTTACTTACCAGACAGAGCTTTTAAGTATTAATTCTTCCTCATAGAGCTTTAATTGTCTGGGCCATGAAAAATTTGACATTTCTAATTTATTTGATGAACAGCAACAATTTCTACATACTTCATCACCGTTGATAAAACCATCTTGGCGTGTGCGAGAAAAAATGCCCTGTTGCAAGACAGCTTGAGACGCCAGCGCGAGCAGTAATATAATGCAATTGTAGCTCAAAACGATACGAAGGTGCCCCGTCTTTGAAAAAATCATGTGCATTTGATGGGTATAGTGAACGCTCCCGCAATAAACCCCTCGTGGGCTTATCATATCATTCGTTATGGTGAGCTACAATGAATCTCGTCAATTCGCAATAATTTGTTTTTGTTTCGGCACATGACTCTGTAGCTTGGCTGCTAAGTAGATGAGTTTTTGTTTTCGTTATTACGTACTGTTTTCCTGCCTTCCCCGTTTCTTTTCTTTGGCCAAGGAAGAATATCTTCAAAATAAGTACAGTGGATTCGTATTGCGGCCATATTTGTATGACGATGTATGACAAGGCTCTCAGTTTGGCAATCTGATCTGTGTTTTGTTCATTTTATTGAAATCAAACTTCTGCCATTTATTGCTGAAAACATGTTCATCTCTTGGTTGACTTGAATTGGGTTATCTTTTATTTATGCTTTAGCTTAAATAAGCGCCTAAATATGTAGTGAAAAAAGCGCAGCAGATATTTTGATCTTGCTGAAGTGCGAGATAAAAAAGACCTTTATTGTTGATTTCATCCCTACACTTAGTATATTTATTATTGTTAGTGTCAGTATCAATATTGATCCAGATCTCAATATCGACCTTCGTTTTAAGAAAAAATTCGAGAATTCTCTAATCAAAATATTTTGTATCTGTATTCTTATCCATATCTCGAATATCATCTTCTACCATATTAAATGATTTTTGTCATGCGGATGCGGCGGGCAGATGGACGGAAGTAGGGTGGTGTGTGCGTCAGTCGCAGAAAGTTGAAATCTGAGCAAAAATTAATTTCAAAGCTTGAAATTGTGAACGTAGATTTGGTTTTCTAATTCGGATTTGATTTTCTAAGTAGATTTTGCTTCTCGGTCAACGTGGGAATAAACTCCAGTCAACAGGACTATATGTTTCCTTTCACGTTACGGTAACCAAATCCACTCCAGATTATTGGCACTATAAATAGGGGTCCCATTCCACAACTCTCAATTCAATCAAAAACAACAAACAACATGGCCACCAGCAACTCCTCGCCTGAAGAAGAGGAAGTTGTCGTCTTCGTTGGTAGAGGAGAAACACCGGAACACCAACACCGACGCCGCCTTTTGACGTAAAAACCACCGACTACTTCAAAATTGATGGGTCGAAGAAATCATAGGCGAAATCCTAGCGAGGTTGCCGTCGGTAAAATCTGTGATCAAGTGCACCGCCGTGTGCAAGTCTTGGAAATATCTGATCCAAAGCCCGTCCATCATTGACGCCCATCTCCGACGCCGCCTCCTCCTTAACCAAAACCAAGTTGCTGATAATGATGATGACCAACTTGCTGATTATGATGATGGTGATGTCGGTAGTCTCCATCTACTAAATGTTAGCGATTAGGAATGAAATGCAGAACTCTTAGGCAAGAAGAAGAAGAAGAGAAGCGAAGAATTTCAATCAGAAAAATTTAGAGAACATTACTCTGCAAATTCTTCCATATATTCAGGGAAATGTGCTCACGGAGCATGTGAGCTCACACATCAACGAAATAACTGTTGGAGGAGAGAGAGGGAGAGAGACGGATCCTCAATTCAATCTCAGCCATCTATTTCATACTCTAATTGGATTAAGACGCTTGTCCACTATCAAGCCCTATGAGACTTAACCAACACATTACAATTTGATCACTCAATCTTAGCCTATGAGCTAAGACACAACACTAATCAAACTTGTAATCCTCATTAATCAATTCATCAATTTACACATTAAAACTCTCCCTAAATTGTGAACTGATCTTACTCCCAATTGCTCTCTGAGATGACAAAATTGCTCCTTGGCCAGTGCCTTTCTGCTACCTGATCTTTGGTTGGACAGTACACCAAATCAATGATTCCATTTTGCAAAGCCTCCTTGATAAAGTGATACCTTCGGTTGATGTGCTTAGTTTAATGGTGAAAAATGGGGTTATTGGTGATTGCAATAGCAGATGTGCTATCACAATTCAAAGGAGTTGCCACAGTCTGTTTCACCAAAATCCTCCAACACAAACCTTAACCAAGTTGCTTGTGCAATAGCTTCTGCTGCACTGATGTAGTCTGCTTCAGCCGTGGATAATTCAACACAATGTTGCTTGATTGAGGACCTTCGGATCCACTCCAGTCACTGTCACAGAATCCAAACAACATTGCACCTTGACCTTTCTTGTACTCCAAACCATAGTCTAAGATTCCTTGTATGTACCTCAGCACCCTTTTAGTAGTTCCATAGTGCTTATTAGTTAAGTAGTGTATAAACCTTGCTAATAAGCAAGAAGCATACATGATATTTGGCCTAGTTGCAGTAAGATACAACAAACTGCCAACAATTTTTTTGAACTGTGCTACATCTACAGCTCCACTATCATCATCAGTTCTCAGTTTATCACCTGGAACAAGTGGGATGCTAACACATTTACAATCCTGTAATCCAAATTTCTTAAGTAGGGAAGTAGCATACTTCTTTTGATGAATGAAAATACTACTTTCAGTTTGCATAACCCCCATTCCAAGAAAATGGTGCAGCAAACCCAAATATGTCATTTCATACTTATGCATCATATCAACCTTGAAATCTTCTATACTACTGCCAGTATAAATGATATCATCAACATAAATCGACACAATGAGCATTCCTCCCTTAGATAGGTGATCTTATACAAACTGCTGTGATTATAGGTTAGTTTGATACTCATTTCTTTAAAAAAATATTGCACATTAGTTATAAATTGTAGGGTTGAAAACTTGCACTTTTGTGGTATGATTTGTGTTCATTTTCTTTATTTATTTACAATTTATGTGTCATTGAAAAATTAAAATTTTATTTAAGCATGTTAAATTTTTTCTTCCCAGTTATCAATTTGTTGCTTGAGGTTTTAATTTTTTTGCACATTATGCGAAAATAACTAGGAATAGCAAAAGAAATCTAATAATACAAGAAGCTCATACTTTTGGCATTTCAAATGGCATAGAAATGTTTAATGAAAATATTTTTATGCTGGTGACGGGTATGTGTTGCCTGAATGCCCTACATTTGCAAAACAAAGTTTGATGGAGCACCAAGAGAACAACTGTCTTTTGAATTTGTAACAGAGAAACATACATATGAGAGACAAGAATTCTGACGTGTTGATCAAGGAAGTTCAGAAATGCTGATTAGTGTTATGTATAACTAGGATTGTAAATATGGTTGTATATATGTAGTAATGGAATTGTACAGTATCGTTGTAGTTGTGTGTAACTAGAGTTATAAACCCGCAGCATCTCGCGGTGCTTCTTTGCTTGTTAGATTCAAAGCTTGAAATTGTGAACGTAGATTTGGTTTTCTAATTCGGATTTGGTTTTCTATGTAGATTTGGCTTCCTGGTCAACGTAGGAATAAACTCCAGTCAACTCGAGGACTACATGTTTCCTTTCACGTTACGGTAACCAAATCCACTCCAGATTATTGGCACTATAAATAGGGATCCCATTCCACAACTTTCAATTCAATCAAAACCACCAAACAAACATGGCCTCCAGCAGCTCACCACCAACACCTCCCTTGAAGAAGAGGAAGTTGTCGTCTTCGTCGGTAGAGGAGAACCACCGACCGCCACCACTGACGCCGCCCTTCAGTATCTACACGACGTAAAAACCACCGACTGCTCCAAATTTGATGGGAAATTACTCCTCGAAGAAATCATAGGCGAAATCCTGGTGAGGTTGCCATCGGTAAAATCTGTAATCAAGTGCACCGCCGTGTGTAAGTCTTGGAAATATCTGATAGAAAGCCCGTCCTTCATCTTCGCCCATCTTCGCCGCCGCCTCCTTCTAAACCAAAACCAAGTTGCTGATAATGATGATAACCAACTTGCTGCTGCTGATGATGTCGGTAGTCTCCATCTACTAAAAGGACCCTTCCATTTTAAGGGATACTTGCTGTATTGGGATAAGCCTGCTTCTGTTTCTGCATCTTTCATTAGATTTGATAGTACCAACAGCAAGACTATAACTAATTTCACTTACCGTTCGACTCACGGCGAAATTACTTCTTCTGGTTACGATCTGGCCGGGACTTGCAACGGACTCATATGCCTTGCTAATGATGAGGACTTCCCCTCAATAATTTGGAACCCTTCGGTTAGGAAATTCGTGACCTTGCCCCCTTCTACCATTACCATCCCTTGGACCAACGAAGAAGAAGAAAACGTTAACTTGCCATATTATATTTCTACTTCGTTCGGCTACGATTCACGCACCAATGACTACAAGGTTTTGAGAATTATTTTTAGTAATGAACATTCTTTTGATCCTGCCGGGAACACCCCGTATGGGGTTGAGGTTTACTCCTTAGCCAGAGGTTCCTGGAAGATTCTTAGTCCTCCTCCTCCAGCTTTACCTGCTGTTTCTTTTCCTGGTTGCCATGCTTTCTGTAATAACAACAACCCATGTCCTAGGAATGTTTTCATCAATGGTGCCGTGAACTGGCTTCTGCCCCGCGATCAAAACTCTGGCGAAGATGTTGTAGTGTCGTTTGATATGGCAACTGAATCATTTGGTGAGATTATGATACCAAAATCTTTGAGAAGAACACCAGGTGCCGGTTTACCTTATAACGACCTTGTTGTTTCAGTATACAAGGATTCCCTTGCGTTAGTTAAGATGCATTGCGAAAGAGCTAATGTTTATGACGTCGAGTTATGGGTCATGCAGCAGTACGGTGCGGTGAAATCGTGGACTAATTTATACAACGTAACCTTGAACAAGTTGGTGAACTCTCCTCCGGAACACTTTGCTTTCAAAAGCAATGGCGAACAAGTGTTTAAAACGCATGCTGAGGATGGTCGATTTGCATACCTGCAGACAGTGGATTTTAGGAGCAAACAAGTTAAATGTTCTAGGGTTGATCGATCGTACCAATACGAGTCCATGAATTCTTTTGTAGAGAGCCTTATTTTACTTGACCAATCTAATGCTTGTTCTTGTTACTAAGCAGCGGCAGCGAGCAACAAGTAGTCTTATGGATTTAATTAGTTAGCACTTTCTTTTCACTTGTAAGTTAACATGTCCTTCAAATGTATGGATTTGGAATTACAAAAGTATTGATGATAAATATATATATATATATATATATATATATATCTTCTTGTTTTTTGTTTTAATTATCTTTCACAAATATAATTAGTTGCAAATTAAGTACCCTAATTGAAGTACTTTTTCTTTAGGATAGACAGTGACTCCATATACAAACACTAAAAAATAGGTGGGGGCCGATTAAATAATCTGGTACATATACAAACACTAAAAAAATAGGTGGGAACTAATTAAATAATTTGGTGCTTATGTAATACAAAACTTACCAAACACCTCTTCTACAACGTGTCAAATGAAGCCTAATGTTTGTGACTTTGCCATGCTAATGACCTGTACTGCACCCCCGCATGCCCCAAAATAATTTGGCAATCCAGCAGTTAAAATGTTTGTGACTCTGCCCCCTCCCTCCTACCATTGGTACCTTCCCTTGGACCAAAACTAGACAAATATACATTGCCGATATTTTGTATTGTAACCGCGTCTGCGTTCTGCTATGATTCGCGCACCAATAACTGTAAGTGCAAGGTGCTGAGAATTTTCCGGGACAGGTTTTCTTGTGGTCATTGAGGTTTACTCCTTAGCCAGGGGATCCTGGAGGATTCTTAGTCCTCTTCCAGCTCCTCCTGCTGTTTCTATTCCTGGTTTGCCTGTTCTCGGTAAGAGCAATCCATGTCCTAGGAACGTTTTCGTCAATGGTTCCGTGCACCGGCTTCTGCCCCTCGATTAAAAAGCTCTGCGAAGATGCCATAGTGCCCTTTGATATGGCCACTGAATCGTTTGATGAGATTGAGATACTAGAACCTTTGCGAAACACACATATCCTTTTCTTATATGAGAGTGTTGTTCTTTCAGCACACATGAATTCTTTTGTTGAGAGCCTTGTTTTACTTGATCAATTCAATGCTTAAAACACTGTTTTGGAGAAGAGAAAGAAATAGTATTTCAACCTAATACACCAGACTACTATTGCACCTGAAATTAACATTTGATAGATGAAATACTCGTCGGAGATCACACCAACCAAAGTATTTTTCTTTTGGACCGAGGGCGATTCAGTATGCAAACGATTCAGTATGCAAATACCAAAAAATTCTTCCAAAACGTAAAAAATGACAATTTCCATCACTTTAACCGGGAAGACATGTCCTGAAGAATCCGGCAGGTTGCATGAGCATCCGCTCAATATGCTATGAATTGTCTATGCTAACTCTTTTTTGTCAAAACTGAACCTCAAAATGCGTACCGGTAAATGGCATCAGCCGCACCATCTTCATCATTGCTTGCACCAATTACATTAGCCACAGCTTTTGTCTTCTCTGATCCATTACTAAGAGCAACGCCCAAAGAAGCCAGCTCAAGCATCTCGACATCATTTTCTCCATCGCCAATAGCCATGATCTAAACAATATATTATTAGAACTAATCAGGAATGAAATCATAATTGGAACATAACTAAAATAAGGAAACATGTAAAACACGATATCAGCACCAACACAGTTCGTAAGATTTTGGATGGCTAACAAAAAATTTAAATTGTCCATATAAGTTGGAACACTGAATACTGTGTGTTAGGAATGTTCTCATGACTCGCATGATCTAGTGATGTGAACAAGAGGAACAAGTATAGGTATACGACTAACTCCGATTAAAACAATAAACGCTAAAACAAGAAGATAACTCTGTACCTGATTTGGAGTGATTCCTAAATGATCAAGAAGCATGTTTACCCCACTTCCTTTTGAGGTTCCTGCGGGAACAATTTCAAGGTGCCCTTCCACTGCTTGAACAGCTGTTGCACGATCTCCAGTTGCTTGTGACCAGTATGGCCTCAAAGTAGTAGCCACTACCTCAGGGGTCTCCATGAAGAGCACTTTCTGTATATGCAAAAGACCAACAATAAATTAGTTTCATGTTAGGGTCGCACTTGGTTTGAGACCGAAGAAACTTCTAGTTATCCACAAGAAGAGTTGATTCAAGGAAAATTAAGATCAAAGCTGAGCGCTAGATGCTTGCATATTTTTGTAATACAGTCAAATCCGCACCTGTATGTCAGCTTCAGCCAAGAGGTGCTCAACTGAAGGCATGATTTCCACCTGTAAATGTAAATATCGTTCCATATACGAAAAAGGGGATGGTGAGGGGGGAGCTCAGGCAATAAAGAATATTTATCATCATAATGAAACATTGATTTTTTATAGCACCTTTGGCTCATTATACAATGTATGCACTGAGTCAAGTAATGGATGCTCAAACAGAGAAAAGCAACGGTCCCTGCTGAATGCAATAAGAGGAACCTTATTCTCCCAAGAGTAGAGACACGCCTGCAAATAAAGAGCATACAGTCTTTTGTTTAGAAAGATTTCCAGTGAAACCCCAAAATTCTAGAAATCCCCACCAAGATATTACCTCTCTGCAGACACTTGTATCTAAATTTTTTCTAAAAATTTCCCGACCTTGCCTACCATAAACAAGCAATCCCTGTAATCAAGTAGAGGCAGACAATAAGAACAGCATGTACGGATATCAACCCAAGACAGAAGGAAGTACAGTTCTGAGAA